ATTTGAGGGAGGCAAGGAATAAAAAATAGTAAATGTCCGATTTCTAAGGAAAAGCCTCTTTCCATTTATGTTCTGTTCAGGTCAATAATATAACAATTATGTAACGAAATTATATGTGTTAGTAAAATATTTCCCTCCTCTTAGTCATGAACTCTTTCATGACCTGTTTCTGAGTGTATATTATCCTGTTGATATGAATTTCTTATTTAAGTTAATACTCTTCACCTTTTAGTCTTAAACCTTCATAATCACTTTTAGCAAATAATTAGGCAAGCAGCCAAGTACTTAATAAATATTTGCTAGTTTATTTTTAAAGAGAATTCAGTTTTGGTCTTTGTTTCATACCGGCTGACATGGATGAGTTCTAGGAGTATGATATCTCTGAGCTTGAAGAAGTGGGGGGGATTTTAAATTTATAAACCTGTTTGCATTTTGAAGCAACTTTTTGCTTAAAGCTAAATGTACTTTTTGTCCTGAAATATATTCAAAGCTTCTTCTATGCAAAATTGATCATAAAATTCTTTTTTATTAACTATTATTTTACCTGTGTTCATGAATCTCCTAGTCAACTTAATATATATATATAATACTTTTTCTTCATCATAAATACTTTAAATTTGACTTGTCCTTTTTTTAAACTGTAAAATCATATTATCTCCTGTAACTTAAAAATATGTAATTTAAACATCTTTATTTTGTTCATTAAAATATTCAAGTATCTATATGTTATTTGTGACTACAATATTGAATAACAGAACAAACTGATCAATTAAAATCTTCTTTCACATCCCCTTTTCATTGCTAATAATTTGTTCTTACAAAATATTGTTCTTACTAAATAGTTTGTCATTATATAGTAATGTATGTAAATTCCTATAGATATGAAAAGAAGAATGTAAAATTCAGGCATATCAAGGAAACAGCCTGAAAAATAATTCTTGGTGTTGAGATTATAACAACAAGATTTCATCCCACTCACACTAACAAATTCTCCTCTTCAGAGAAATTAGCCCATTTATGAGAATGTTTTCCTGTTACCAAATTGTAAAAGAAATACCATATAATGAAGAGTAAAAATTTGATAACAAATATACTATGAATATTATACAATGATTAATAGTTATAGTAGTTTTATATATTATAGCTACAAATAATACAATTCTTCCATTGATATATGAATTGTAATTTAGAGTATACGTAAATTTACTGAACACTTAAGTTTAATCATTAATGAGTTAAAATACAGTAATCTGCATTATTTAGAAACATCTTAAATAGTGAAAATAAATTGTGAGAAAATTTCTTTTATATTTGAGTAAGGAAATTTTTTCTATTTAACAATTGAAATTCAAAGACTAATTGCTTTTTATCCTAAATTTCAACCTAATTTTAGTAAAGCAGACTAAAAATTCATTATGATGGGATTTTGTTTGTACATAAGACACCATATTAATGGAAAATTTCATCTATGATATATATATACTAAAAATGTGTTGCATTTATTGATTTACTATATCAATGAATATAAATTACTATATTTACTATAGCAATAGTATGTACATTCATATGTGATAAACATAATTCTTTAGAGTATAATATTGTTAGAGTAAAGATTGCTAAAGTTTACCATTTCTTCTGTATTTTAGTTCTAACAAATGTATACTTTTTTGGATACTCACTTCAATTATATTCCTCTGTGGATACAAAGTTCTAACTATAATTTTAATATCCAATAATTTTTAAATGACATTTTACCCATGTTAGTTATTAAATTTTGATGTCCATATTATAATCTTCTCACTAGGGAAAAGGCGATCATTTAATATAACATCAAGTCATATTTTTCATAATTTAGTGCTGTTTTGAAATTTAAGAGGCCCATAAGTTTCAGACTCAGACCTACTCTTTTAAGATACATTTCTTCAATTCCTGAAATGGAATGCTGGTAGACTTTACACTCATTAAATGCAGTTTATCAGATGTCGACCAGTTCAGGAATATCAATGATGACATTGCTGTGCAGTTTATAATCTCTAGTACATCATTTAAATATGTGGGACAGTTTGCTCACAGATTAATATATGAAGTTATGTTATATAAAGTCATACTTTTAATTTTTCTTAACTTTTTCTTTAAATGAGAATTATGAATGAAATATGGGACTACATAGGATAAAAATTAGTGTTTTACTTTGATTAGAATAATTTTCATTCCCAGAAAAAAAAACATGGAAAATTTCTTGGAGTATGGAAAAACTTATTGAAGCAAAATACAGAATCTAGAAACTACAATTGAAAACTTTAAAATTCAAATACCCTTGAGTGATAAGATAATCCAACATTTGCAAAACATAACAAACATGGAGCTAAGTTCCTTAGTATATAATGCATTTAAATTCAGTGAGAAAAAACCAACAACCTAGTAGAAAATGGGCAAATAACTTTCATAGACAGCTCCTAAAAAACCCCCAAACATTTAAGTATAGACATAGATGCTCAATTTCACCCATAAAAAATGCAGATTAAAATCTATAGTAAAATACCAGTTTTTATCTAATAGATTGACAGTTCAATGTGATATTATATAATAATAGCTATAATAGCAGTAATCTTAAATTTTATTGATAAAGCCTAGGAATAAATTATGTTGATAAAATAGATTCTATGCAGCTGTTAGAAAGAATAGTGTGGGTTTCTGTCTACTAATATGGAAAAATTAAACAGATATTAAATGAAGAAAGCAAAGTTAAGGTCAGGTAAATTATACATTCCAATTTGTGTAAAGAGAGACCATACACACACACACACACACACACACACACACACACACACACACACTTCTGAATTAGAAAATGAGGATAATAGTTGCTTTTGAGACCAGAATTTAGGGGTGAACTTTGAGTAGAAGAGGACTTAATTTTCATTTTTTATCCTTTAATTTTTCTCTGCTGTGTTCATGGATTTTTTTAAACATATAAAACAATTCTAAAGAAAGAAAATTCTTAATTTACTAAAACACCACAGTGAATACTGCCTGAACACTTTCTAGATGCCACACAATTTTTGAGCATGTTGGCAAAATTAAGGTAGATAAAGTATGGTGTCTACTCTTCTCAAAAACTGGTAAAGTGGTACTGATTTGTAAATAGGATAAAACTCAGTGTAGTAGATTTTCTATTAGAAATGGGGCCAAGAAGCCTATATACTCTTTTGTAGATCTCAGAGTAGTTTACATACTATATAATTGATCTTCACAAAACATTATGGAAAAAATAGAGCACTGTCACCAGAAAAATAATAGGTAAGCCCATTTTCTGTATTTGCTCACTTAATGCTCACATCAGCCTGAGAAAGTGGTACCCTTGTCGTCCTCATTTTATGAAGTACACGAGGAACTTAAGTATCTTATAAAACGTGACACTGCTTCTAATGAGTGCCAGAGCTGGTATTCAAATCCAGGCAGTCTGGTTACAGGATCCTCACTCCTAATAGCTGAACTATTCTATTTAAACTTCATTTTGTAGTTTGAATTTATATCTACTTTGCAAACAAAAGACAAAAAAATCAGATATTAAATAATTAATTCAAGTTTCTACTGCTAATAAATGTCAGAGCCAGTCTGTGGGCTAAATACAGTGATCTCATTTTGTACCATGTTGCCTCTATTCTTAGGAGAGTTCCAAGGGAGGGGAGCAGGGGAAGAGCCATTTTGATAGCACTACCTGTTTAAATACTAATGACAAATCACAGAATGTGTGGTTTCTCTAAGAAAATTACAGTAAAAAGAACTTACTTCCTTTTTATGAATGTATTTCCTCCATTCAAGTAGTACCAAATAATTTGTTTTGCTCAGGAACTTTGATATGATTTCTTAAGAAATTTTCAAGATCAGGGGATAAAAAGCTGGTATTCATTTAAAGCCTGTTTCTGCTTTGTGAAAAGACTTTGTCAGCAATCCAGAATGAGGGCTGTGCTAACAAAATTCCAACTTTTCTGTGGGATGATCCAAAAACAGCAAACAGAAGGCATTAAATTTCTTAACAGTCACAAGTGCGTGCATGCATGCTATGCCATTCCTGTCATTCACTGCTTTTTGGTGTGCATAGATTAAAGTTGGAATACTTTGATTTGCAGACTAATATGTTCCATAGAGAATTTTCTTCATATAAAAAAATAAAGAGTAGATTAAGAGCATATGAAGTCTGTGCACTCTGCCCTACATTTATATAGCTCTTCATTGGATATATGTTTTTAATCTGATTTTAGGATATTTGCCTTGACAGTATGCCTTCATACATCTAAGACATTTGCTAGATTAAGATCCCAAGTTGTTTCTCTTGCTCAGTTTTGAAACAGGTTTATACAAGTATTCTGATGTGAAACAGTGTGTGTGTGTGTGTGTGTGTGTGTGTGTGTATGTATATATACACACATGATTGTGTATTTTGTATATGTATAAATATATATATATATGATTGTTAAGAAGCATAGCTCAGTGGGTTAAGCAATATCTAATCTTGTCTCATACATAATGCTGAGTCTCAGTAGTGACAAAATCATAAGCCAATACCAGAATTAAGGACTTGCTTTAAAAATATATAACGAAGGGGATGGGTATTAAGGAGGGCACGTATTGAATGGAGCACTGGGTGTTATATGCAAACAAGGAATCATGGAATGCTACATCAGAAACTAATGATGTAATGTATAGTGACTAACATAATAAAATAAAATTTTAAAAAAATTAAAAAACTATATAACTAAGTTGAAGAAAGAAATGTGTGTACAAATGAAGTGTCATTCTGTTTACCTAGAGGTTTTTTGAGCCATCTTCACTTTGATGGCAAAGTCGCTAAAATATTTTCGAGCACAGTATGTATTAACATTGCATTGGTGATTTCCATCCATGTTCACAGAATGGCACTGGGTGGAGAAGAGATGTAGATGACAACACATAACCTGCATTTAAAATGCCTTCATTTCTTCTTTTTTAAATTACAGCAAATTCAGTAAAGCTAGAAATGCAGAGTGATGAAGAGTGTGACAGGAAACCCCTGAGCCGTGAAGATGAGATCAGGGGCCATGATGAAGGTAGCGGCCTAGAAGAACCCCTAATTGAGAGCAGCGAGGTGGCTGACAACAGGAAAGTCCAGGAGCTTCAAGGCGAGGGAGGAATCCGGCTTCCGAATGGTAAACTGAAATGTGACGTCTGTGGCATGGTTTGCATTGGGCCCAATGTGCTTATGGTACATAAAAGGAGTCACACTGGTAAGCAGCTGAAAGAATAACCTGATGACTGCCTGTGACATCTGATGTTGATATTACCTGACATCTATTCTCTTTCCTTTTTATTCAGGGGTGGCAGTGGTGAAACTACCTTTTCAGAATTCTGCTAGTATTGGATTGCTGAAAAGCAGAGAGTAGCCTGGGTCTTGACTTCCAGCCTTCAAATCTGAATAGCATATCAGAAAAGAAGTTTGGGATTCAGTTTCCACAGTTCTTAATATAGCAATAATATGATAAGGGTTCAAAAGGTATAGGAGAATCTCATTGTGTAACTTAATCTTTTTGTGTTTCTATACATATTTTACCATACCCATGGGTAGGTAATATAGTTTGCTAGCTAAGAGTTTATACTATAAAATGGTACTCATGCATTTATATAGAGGTAGATCAATTTCACCTTATCTGGTTAACTTCTTGGAATACAATTTCCAATCAATCTCTGCCTACCATGGGTCTCTGTATTAGGCAGATACTTTCCCTAGTTGAGGATGTTACTATCTTCCTGTAATTTTTTTTATTATAACTCCTGCAAAGAGATATGTAGGGTACAGTATAGTGAAGAGTGGTGGGTTTGCTGGTAAGAATGTGTAATCATGGAACAGGGTGAGGAAAGAGGATTCTGATTAATATAATATATACTTTTAGACATTTGAGTAATGTAAAAAAAAAAACAGCTAGATGAGGAGAAGGCCTTATTTAAATCTCTCCAAATCCTTTGGCAAAATGAAAAAAAAAAAGTTTTTTAATTTAAAAAAAATACAGAAATGAGATTATGTGTAAGAAAGGCAGATGGTTGACTCTTAAAGTTTTAAGTTCATATGAAAATTGATTTAAAGATGGTACCTTTAACTATAATGCAAAGTAGTATTATATAGCAAAATATTAATCACTAATACTCTCAGAGTTTTAAAATATGTTTCTCTTTGGAAGAGAGATAAATCAGTTTAATTAGTAGGTGCTTAAAACATGAGAGATGTGAGGTACACTGAAGTCTTTTTAGCCCAAATCTCTCATTTACACATGAACAAACTGAAACCCCAAACAGTCAAGTGATTTGTCCATTATCCCTTATGTAGTTAGGGCATTGTGAGGCTAAAACCAAGGTTTCCTGATGCCCAGACTGGTTTTGTTCAAATATATACTGTACTTGGTATCTCACTGCACCAACATTTAATGATGAGATATGATTATAAGGCTTAAAAATTATAGTAAGAAGTTACACATTAAAATCAATGTTATCTTAATCAAAATCATCAGGTTTGGAACCTGTACCCTTATTCTAACTCTACAGTTACATGTTTACTTTTGGTTTTATTTTTAATTTCCTCTTTAAACAGCATATTTTTATAAATAATATAAATATAATATTACTAGTATAGATTTTTTTACCTTAATTAAAAAAAATTCTTCTAGAAAAGTTAAAAGATCAAGTTTGGTATTTTATAAGAAAAATAGGAAAAGACTGTAAAATAATGAGTCTACTTTTCATCTCTGCTCATGAAGTAATGTTAACTGCAGTTCTAAAAGAAGAGTTCTACCAAGTTAGAATGTATTCATTATCTCACAGTGATTATATTGAGGTAGATAACACCCATTCAGTTGTGTAACTAGTAACATATAAACTGAACAAAAGTAGTCTAATGACTTTTCAGTTGAATTGCATATAGTGTACATTTTAAGGCTAAAAAGTATACTAACAACAATTTTTTGTAAGATTTCTAATAAACCTTTTATGGTCTGAGTCAAGAAAATTTAAAGAACCTGAGTGTGCTCTCTTGAATATTTAGGTTAATCAATGTTTCACTGTATTTGCAGTGATTTTCATGAGGATTGTTAGTTTGTAAACACAAGAGTGATTACATACTGACTCTACTGCTTATTTAATATTTACTACCATAGTACAGTTGAATTATTCTGATTCTGAAAATCATCAAATTGACATGGAAGATGTTTCTAAATAGTTATACAGATTTCCACAACTTCTATGAATATGGAATTAACTAGTAAAGGCAAGAATGGACAAAATAACTAAAGTCCTCTTGTAACTTCATGAACTTTTATTGTTAATGAATGTTTATTGGAGTATTATAAAAATTACGCTTTCCTCAGATCTGGGAAGTTTCTGTTAAATAGCCATTCATAGAGGAGCTTGGGATATCTGCCACATTTATTGACCTTGAAATTGTGATGTATCTTTAAAGTAGCTATTTTTATATGTATTTCTGATAACCCAGTTTATACATCTGAATGGGTCATGACCTTTTCCACTCCATTTTAGTGCCCTTCGAGAACAGAAAGTCTATTTGTATGTTTTGTTTTGTTTTGTTTTTTAATTTAAACTAGATTGAAAAAACTGTGGTCAGGATCTAGTATTAACCAAATGTTTTCTCATCAATGCCATGAACTACTGTCTTCATTTCAGAATTCCCCCCTCTCACCAATTATTTATAGCTAGTTTAAAAGGCACTGTCTTAAATCCTTATAAAGCCTTTGGGAAACATGTTTGTGTGTCATAGAATATCCAATATAAAATTGATAGTATAAAAATATACACAACAACCACCCAGTTTACTAAGATGACGTGGAGTATCGTATCTAATTCACTTCTTCTCTCTCTTTCAAACTCTACTAAAATGCCAATTCTAGTGTCTTATAAATGGGTTGGTGTTATTTCTTGTTGTTGTTACTGCAGTAGGTAATCAGGTAATATTGTCATCGGATACTCCAGGCACTCTTCACTGTGATACAGGCAGAATAAAAGAAGTAGGGGTAGTAAATCAATTCATGCTTAAACACGAATTGATGTGGACCATTATAAATATAGACTATCCTTAACCTTGCCCTTCTTTGGGGTAGAGTACTCCCATCTTTGTAACTCTGTGTATATTGTAGCTTTATGGAACCATTCTTTTGCTCCAAGGCCTTCTCAACAAATACTGGGATTTTTCATATTTGTAGGTGGTTGCTCCATCCAACACAGGAACACCCTCTGTCTTTGATTCACCAAAGCAAACTGATGTGTGTATACTTGTATTTCAGTTGAATATTTAAACACAGATCTAGAAATATGTGTTTATGAAAGTACATAAAATAATGAAATATAATTTATTTCAAAATAAAAATAGATAACTTCATTCTGGGAATAACTAAAAAAGGTCCTTGAGCAGATTTTTTTATAAAAAATCTAACCAAAACATAACAAAAAGCAGATTAAGAATGGAAATGAATGATAGCATGGCCACATATTAATTGTTCTCCTGGATTCAGAGTTGTTAATCCAGACTTTTGTACCCACCCATGGGGGAATTAGTTATCACAGATACAATAACCTATTTGATTTTTTCAATTGGATTATACTGTATAGTGTGTTTAGTACATTTGTGGTGTTTTCTCGAAGTTTACTTTTCTTTATTTCTGAATAAGAACATGATTAATATATTTCTTTAGGCAAAGTCTAAACTTACTCGAAAAGGACTAGTTGATTCAGCCTATTTGTTAAAGAAAAAGCAAATTATTTAAAAAATAATTGAGATGCATTGTTTCAAGGCACAGACACAATATATGAACCTTTTACCTAAATATCAGCTCATTTTACACATATCTCATAATCCCAATTCAAGATTTAATTCATGTAAAGCAGATCAATATTTCTCAAAGCTTCATCCAGCTGAAATCAAAGTACATTATCATTGCCCCTTTCCTCTTATCAAAAACAGGAACATGGTTTGTTAACCTTCATCATGCCTTTCTTTATATCCCATGGCCATGGGAATATAGTCAGCAAATGTCTCCACACTAAGACACACTCAGTGACAGACAGTATTTCCTGATATACCTAGACCCCTTTTCATTTCTCCTGCCTCTTTAAGGATGATCATATAAATTCAGAAGTAATTCTATTAAAAAATATTTGAAGATATCTGGAATATTTTGTAAATGTAAAAACAAAATTACCCTGTCATTAGCCTCAAAAACTCAATTAGATGAATTTTAAAATTCTTTTTAAAGAGAGTTATCCTTATTATTTTTTCTTTTTTGATTAGCATTACTTGGTATGACAAATTCAGTACTCCAAATTAGGAATTTTTAAATATTTCAATTTTAGGAGGCTTAATGAAAATCTAAGTTAGCATGTTACAGGAGTATTTTCTAAAGGCAAACATGATTTCAAATGTTTTTGTTCACCAAACTAATTTAATTCATTTTGAAGTTATTGCATACTAATTTGTTACTTGCCTGGAAGACCCTACATAGATTTCCAAAGTAAAATCAAGTATTTGGAGTGAAAAGTATAATTTGCATTTGCTATTTTCCTACAGTGTAAAAGTTCTCATGAAGAAAGTGCATCCTTCTTTTTTATTAATAATTCCATGGCAGGGATGGGAAGTAGAAATTCCTGATTTTAAAGAGCTGTAGACTGCTATTTCAGATTTTTTATTTATTTATTTGAGAGAGAGAGAATGAGAGATAGAGAGCACGAGAGGGAAGAGGGTCAGAGGGAGAAGCAGACTCCCTGCCGAGCAGGGAGCCCGATGCGGGACTCGATCCAGGGACTCCAGGATCATGACCTGAGCCGAAGGCAGTCGCTTAACCAACTGAGCCACCCAGGCGCCCTAGACTGCTATTTCATTGGGAAAAAAAAAAAAAAGTCAACAAATTGTGTGTGTGTGTGTGTGTGTGTGTGTGTGTGTGTGTAAAGATTTACCAAATTTAGATTTATTTTAAAAATTTAGTTTGTAAGACTTCATATAGGTGTTTTTCAGTAAAGTATTGCTCTTTTAAGCTGTACTTAGTGTTGATTTAATTTGTCAGTTTCATCAAATGAATCAAGTGAAATAAGATCAAATTTAAGGTAACTTTAACATAATTTTTTTTTTTCAAGTTAATACACTAGTACAAGGACTTTTTATAAATGTAGTTCAGATCTCCAGATTTTGTAAGAAAAACAAACAGCCTTGCTACACGAACACAAAGATTACATTTTTGGGGGTATGTGTCTCATAAAGTTCCAAAATGAGCAAGTAGTACAGAATTTGAGACACACCTGATATATCAATTTTTAATTTCTTTAGGTTTTATAACAAATCTATATGATAGAATGTGCAGTGGCAACTGCAAGAAAATGGCCAGTTTATCTTCTTTATGACTTCTGGCTTCCTTTAATAGAAAGAATCATTGAGTTTGCATTAATTAAAAGCCTCCCCAAAATATTGAGGTTTCATTATTCACTATTTTCAAATGTTTCAGTTAAAGATATAAAACATGAGAATTCAGTATAAATGTTTAAGTATTAAAATTATAATCATCTAACCTCAAGTACAGAAATAGTCCCGTTAAACCAAAAGTGAATTTTTAAATTATTTTATTTCCGTCCTAAAATTTGAGCTTTACTATTTTGTACTATTTATATATTAATTTATAGTTTAGTTCATGAATATCTTTAGAGATCAGCAAACTTAAAATGATAGTATTTTCTTCATGGTTTGACCCTACTTAATAATTTTACTGCTTCCCCAACTACATGTTTTTATGTTCAGTGACCTTGGTGACAGCCAGTTGATGACAATAGACTGATAATTCTGGCTTAAACAGTTTTATAGCAGTATCCAGTAATAGGAAAAAAGAGAGAAAATATTTCAAATTATTTTCACAACAAAAAGAATATACAGGAAATATCTGGATGAATAATTTTCTTTGAATTTTCCCTGTTTATATCAGGAAATTTTGCCAAAGTTTTCACTGTTAGTGACTAGGAATGAGACCTGGGCCTGGGCTAATTTTGGGAGATTTTGTGATGATGAACTTTGTAACCTGGCACCCAGAAAGAAAATTATCAGCTAAATCGGAGAGTTAGACTAAAGACCCCTTCCAAGTCAAATTCAAAATTTCTGTAATTTTAAAAGAGATAGCATGGTACAATAGAGCAAGATTTTGTAGTCCAACTAAGCAAGATTCATATCAGTTTAAGTACTTATTAGCTCTGTAACTATCAGATACCTTGATACTTGAACTTCAAGTTCCTCATTTGCAAACTGAAATTATAGATGCCTAATTAGTATCATTATAAGGTTTGAAATATTCTATATAAAGCTACCAATAAAGTCAGTAAAGTGATGGCACTTAGTTGTTCAAACAGTGGTCAATGCTATTGCTGATTCTTTTGAGTCAGTGACAAGAATCCTGTAAAATTTATATGAAGAGAGGAATCTGCACTTGACCTAAAGTTGAAGGCTTCAGTATTAGCAAATTTTAGGAAGATAAAGATTTAGAAGTCTGAAGGGGGAGAAGAATATTCTCAGCACAAAGAACTGGCCCCAGTTAATAGCGTACAGATCAGTCCCTTCCACATAACCTACTTGATCTTTCCTACCTCTTTTCCTTTCGGCAGGTGAACGTCCCTTCCACTGTAACCAGTGTGGAGCTTCTTTCACTCAGAAGGGCAACCTTTTGAGACACATAAAGTTACACTCTGGAGAGAAGCCGTTCAAATGTCCTTTTTGTAGCTATGCCTGTAGAAGAAGGGACGCCCTCACAGGACACCTCAGGACCCACTCTGGTAAGTGTCACTGACTCTTTGAGAAAAAAGCTAAAATATAAGAATTCAGGAAAGCATTATAGAATAATACAGAATAACATAGCTTTGGTATATAGCTAGGAATGAGCTAGACAATATTTTTGTGTACATTGAATAACTGATAAATTTTGCAAGATGCATATGGCCCTTCGTTTTTTTAGACTTACAGACTTGGTGAAAAGTAGCACTGTCAATGGAAGAGTCTCTTATTTCAAGTTCTTGAAGTAAGGAGACAACTACTCTGTAGATTCTCTCTGATTTTTTATTTTATAATTATTCAGTAATTATGGTTAATCCAGGATAATGGAAAATCTAGTAAAATGTCATAGTTACATGCTAATATTACCATAGAGGAGATGAAAGCTGTGATATTTTTCAACTGATACAGTGCCCAGGCTGGGACCTCAGTGGGAAATCAAATGTCGCTATTTTTAAACTTGAAAATATTATGCTCATTAAAAAATTGGCTGTTAGAGTATTTTATATTTCATTTAAACGCACCTTGTTTCTTTAATTCTCAAAATATAGTCATTGGATTTTCTCTGAACTTTTCTCTCTTCATAAATCATTAAAAATCTAGAATAAGTGTGATATTTTTAAAATGCTAGAATATAGTACATAAAAGAGCAAGAATGATTAGAAATCTGAATGAATCTCATTTGACTTTTAGCATGAATTGCCATAACCAAGAAGTTAAAGGTGGAAAATTAATATAGAATACTCTCAAGCCAGTTTTATATCCTCCTTCTGTCCATAATGACATATTAAAATTTAATTTTAATATGAAGATATGATGGAAGTGATATTTTCATCTACATTGACAAATTGTATTAGAGAGTGCTGTGGATTGTGAGGTAATGCTTGTATTATCTTTTTTTACATTTTCCCTATTAATCCTTAAGGCTTTACTTGGTTTTTAACATGAATGTGAAATGTGTAAACTATTTTAGACATTAAATTGTAAATTTGGAGCAGTTATGGAAAAATGAAATGAATGCAAATATAAATACAAAATATTTTAAGTATATATAGTTACTTTCCTCCTTGATTCAAAGCAATTCCCTTATTTCCAACTATGACATTTTATATTTTATTTTAAATCATGCTATGAAAATTACATCTTTATTATAAAAATTATTCTTTATTGAAGGATGTTTTTAAGATGTGACAGTTAATTCCTTTAGCTAGCCATGTACTCTGGCTTATTAAAGCATTATTGAATTGACCATGGATTGTATAAAGCATAAATTTTCATGAACATTATCTATTACATGAAGTTGAGCAAAAAATATAACTTTAAACATCGATTTCATTCTTTACAAAGTTGTGTTACTTTTAATATCATAGTTTAATGTATATATGTTACTGTACCTGGGATTGCTATATTGCCCTTAGAAGGTTCAGTGCCTTCAAAGCTCAACCTCTCTGGAAGGCTTTTGATAACTCAGTTTGTGTTGCCTTGATTTCCTTTTTGTTCTTTTAACACATCCATCCGTGTGGGTGGTGTCTAAGATGACACCTTGGTTTTTGTTTCTGTTGAACTGGGCAGTTGCAATCATCATCTTTTTTGCAAATCAGTCATGACTCATTAGAGTTTCCTGGTTGGTGGCTAATGAAGTGAGGAATGAGAAATACGTTACTCCAAAAGTAGGCCATTCCCATTGGCTTTCACCAGGCCAGACACTTGACAACACTTACATGGTTCTGTGTAATTATCAAGTTTGTGTGTATAGTGAAGCTGTTTCTGTGAAATTGCATATTTTGTAAATAAATATACTGCTACTTTGAGGTTCAAAAAAATAAAGACATGGACCCGGTAATTGTAATCATGCTATTATTTTGCAATTTGCTGGCTAATTAAAGAGTTTAATGGAGCGAGTAAGGAGGGTGTCATCCAGCTACTGCATCATCAACAGGTGATATGAATTCAGTTATACTTCTCACTGTAACCTAAAATATTTGCCATTGCCAATGCTTTTTGTAATAGATACAGCATAAAACATAGCTGCTAAAGTCCGTGCCTCTCCAATTTGTTCAGAAAGCCCAAATTGATCATTATAGCTTTCTTCTTCTGCTACCAAATCCATCTTTCTCTTACTCTCACCCTCTTTTTTTAGCACCTGAGCTGAAAAAGGATTCTTTATCTGATGAGTGACCCAAACCTTAATTTCTACAAATTCTGAGGATTTGATGGTCCTGTTTTCCTTGGATTACTGCAGTTTTTCAGTAACCAGGATTATTGGGCACATTTTTTAAAAGAGGTACCCCAGTGAATCTCCTGAGTTCCAAACATAGCAACAATCCAAAACCATCTTGGTAGTCTGGAAAAGTTGCCAACCAATAGCCCACTTCTCTCCCTCTTAGTTTAGCAGCTTGAGATGCCCCAGATAGCCAGGGAGTAGTCCAATATGACAGTTCCAGAACTCTGATCCCTGGTGGAAAGAGTCTTCCCTTGGGCACCTAGCCCATACGTCAGAGCAGCATATAAACTGTGCCTCCTTCTTCATGGTGAAATGTGCAAAGTGCAGCCATTTTCATTTATTATAGAGGACCTAATTCAACATGTCTTGACCACCAAACCCATAACATTTCACTAATGCTGTGCTTCTCTGAACTTTCTGGGCAATTATCTCCTGTCCTCTAGCATATATCTTACTGAGGCATCTCAGGTATTTACTACTTCCTGCTCACCATGTCCAGTCAGTACCGTGAATATAATGTTCCAACTTGATGTTCTGTGGGATGTCAAGATGAACAAGATTTCTTTGGACTGTATTATAACAGAACAGTTGACCTAGCCTTAAGCTAAGATAATAAAAATATGCTGTCCCTGCAATGTGAAGGCAAAGTGCTTCAGATTATCTGTTGATAAGGAATTACTTTCCAAAGAAATTGTTAAGTCAGTATCTCCATACCTGGTATCAGGGGCTATGTTATAGGTTAGTATGTGCCAGTAAAGATATTACAGCTAGAACTGCATCTGTAGTTGGCATTTTGATGTGATTAAGACTACATGCATCCACAGAACCCTCTAGCTTGCGTTAGCCTAATAAACAGTATAAATGGGTGTGTGGTAGGAATCCCCATGACATCTTTCAGTTTTAGTTTGCTATCTTTAAGTCTAGGGCTGTGATCTCCACTGTGGTAGCAACTAGCCTCCTGTGGCTAGTGCCACATATTGAGATGATATGTTCTTATTAAATAAAATCTATTAAAATTAATTCCACCTTTTTAAAATGTGGCCACTAGAAAATTTAAAAATACATGTGTGATTCATATTTGCACTGGACAGCTCTGTTCTTGGCTTTTCATATAGCCATGGGTCAGGGAACCAACATAAGGATTCTTCCCATTACTAAGTTTATTTGTTCCCACAATCCTGTAAGATGGACTTGGGTAAACTCTACATACATATCTTGACCTCCATATGCCCCCACTTTGAGCTGGTGGACTACAATGGCATTTTGGGTTCCAGAGATTATTGTGAACTCAGAACTAATCTAATAGACTAATAATCTGTGGTAGGATTTGGTATTTCCTTTTCCTACCATAGAGCCTCTGCCACTCTGAAATCACATATACATTTAAATCAGGGAGGCCAGATCTATTTGCAACATCTATCATTGTTCTCTCCAGCCTAGAGAAGACAATTACCATAAAGCTTTTCAAGCATGTGGCTTCTTTCCTTACCAGTGTAATTCTTTGGTGAAGGGAGTGTCCCATTGGCACTTCCTGAAGTATATAAGTGGCAGGCTGAACGGGGTGATTCATTATAGATCCTTTCCATTATTCTTACTTATTTGAGCTTTTGTTCTTCTTCCTCTTTGCTATGTTCAACTTTTTACTAATAAGCCATCATTGAATCAAGGATTCAATTAACCAGTCACTCCCACTTGCTCAAGGCAATATATTAAATCTCAAATCCAGGTGAATGCATATATATCGATAAATTTGGCCCAATCTAGCATTTTGGTTCATCTTCTTGGTATAAATCCCTTAAAATCGATTCATTCCCTTACATGCTAACTGGACTCCTGCTGATACAAATTGGCAGTTTTGCAATTCTTTCAGTGTATAGGCTGTCACCTCCTCAATCAGGCCTTGATTTTGGTTATATTAGGATCTAACTTATTATGAGCCTAGGGGCAATGAGAGTTAATAGGAATGAGTCCTGAAAAGAACTGCCATTTTCTGATTGGGTTCTTGCCTCAGCTGAAGCAATCGAAAGTCTTCTTACTTTATGGGAATGCTGATTTATGGAGCATTAGTTTCCTTAGATGGAAAGGTGGGGAGTGAGGACTGTGTCTTCTGGCAAGAGTGGTTTGGAAGTGTTTGGGGGTTCAACATTCTGAGCCTTAGTATTTGATCTGATAGTATCATTCCATGTTTCACTAGTCCATTGTCAAGACCTAGTTGTATTGGTATTGCCCATTTTATATAGTACAGCAATTCAGTAACCCTTCAAATCGGATTCTGGAGTTGGTTTTCAGCCTTATTTGCCCTGAGGCTTAAGTAAATAAGGACTCTTTTAAAGCTGACAGAGGACTTTGATATTCCAACTTCTGCTCTAACATGAAGTGAGCATTCAAGACCTTCAAACTGTCCTTTCTCCTTTGTGTAATCCTTAGGGCCATCAGAATTAGCCATATCACACTACAGTCTTCACTCTACACACCACCATTGTCACTTAAGCAAGTAAAGGCCACATGCTACCAGCAGTAATAATTTGGGTAATCATATTGCCAGCAAATACCTAGAATTAGTTTTCCATTAACTCCCCAGTAAGAAAGCCATTCTGTTCTCTTCAAATTGAACAACTCAGTGCTGGAATGCCATTTTGACTCTCTGAGGCTTTGGGGCCACTCCTGCTACCAGTAATTATCAATCAAGGCCCTGACATGAGTAATGAGACACTCAAAGGGGAAAAATTTGGAGACATTCATCGTAATACTTATAAGAGAACAGTGAGGCATAAAGGAAAC